CGCCGCGGGACGCCAGCCCCCATGGGACAACACACCCACCCTGCAGGGTGCCACGCCTCACAGGATGCCACGCCCCCACGGGCACCACGCCCACCCAGGGGATGCCAGCCCCCATGGGACAACACACCCACCCCGCAGGATGCCACGCCCCCGCGGGACTCCATACCCACCCCGCGAGGTGCCACGCCCCCCACGGGACGCCACGCGTCGCCAGGCCCTGAGCCCGCGGCCTCGCAGCGGAGAAGCGCGGACCCGCCCCTGCCCCTGCCCCTGCCCTGCCCGCCTGGAGCGCGTGGGCCTCGAGAGGGTGCCAGGCTGCAGATACGCAAGCGTGTGGCCTTGGGAAGATGCCGGGGCACTAGGCGCGCCCACAAGTGTGCCAGGCTACAGGTGAACGCGGTCAGGTGAGGTCCCGGCCCTCTGCCCCTCCCCAGCCCCGACGGGCGGCGGCAGCGAGGGAGAGGCCGTTCAGCCAGGACTCACCCAAGAACTGGACCCCAAAGTAACAGGCCTCGGTGAGCAGAGTCCACCGGATGATGACCTTCTCGGCAGTGTAGAGCGCGTTCCACATGATCAGGGAGATGCCTGCGGCAAGGAGGGAGAGCCGGCGGTGGGCGGGGCGGCCCTCCTCCCCTGGGCCACTGCTGGACAGCCGGGGCCTGGACCCACCGTGCCCAGTCGAAGCCGTCTGCCCCTGCCCCACCCAGGCTCAACCCTGCTGCTTCAGCCGCGCCTGGCATTTCCAAGGCCGCGGGGGCACCGGCGAGTCGCCTCCCCCACTGGGACGCCTCTCTCCGCCTGCAAAGTGAGAGGACGGAGCCCCTGGCCCTGGCCCCATGCAGTTCTGCCCCTCGGATTCTGCACCGGTGGGTCTAGGAGTTCGTGGTCAACTGTTCCCATGCTGGGTTTTCTTTTCTTTCTTTTTCTGGAAAGCAGGATTTATTGAGAGGACAGAAAAGCTCCCGGAGCTGGAAGGACCCCAGGGGGTTGCCCAGTGTTCTTTTCAAGCGGACTCCAGCGACAGAAAATTGGAGCCCACTGAGGAATCACTCTAAGGAACTCCCTGGGGATGGGCGGACCACACTTAGCGGAAGAAACATCAGCTTAGCCTGCAGCAGCCCCGGCCGTGTGGCTGGCTCGGAATAGCAGGTGGGTCCCCGGGCTCGAACGCATTTGATCTCAACAAGCCTGACTCCAGAACTCGAGCTCACCACCGTGATGGGTGGCACGCCTTCCCCATCCCCACCACCCCCTGCCCAGAGGCACCCGGGCCACCCTGAAGGCTCCACAAGCCTGCGGAGCCGCGTATGCAAAGGCACAGGGCCTTCCGAAACCAGGTGTGGGGGAGTCCAGGCCCACCGTGGGCTGGCGGGGGGGAGGTGTGGGAAGGCAGGCGGATGCACCCCACGGGGGACCCTGAATGCCAGGAAGAGGAGCTGAGAACGCATCCCGCAGGCAGCAGGGAGCCACAGAACCTCCTGGAGAGAAGGCATACCACCCGTGGTATGCGCTCCAACGAGATGCGGTTCAGGTGTTGGAAGGGATAAAGATGGCGGGGGTGAGAGGGGCTTGGCGGGCTCTGTTTTGCGTCTGCGTCTACTCTAGGCCCTGAAGCCCCGGAGGGCTGGGCCTGGCCGCCTTCACCTCTGCACCCCAGCACAGCAAGCGCTCGCCCCAACTCACTGGGCGTGTTCCAATGGCCACGAGATGGCAGCACACGCCCAGCAGAGACGGGCCGGGCGCGGGAAAGGCGGGCGTGCCCCAGCCGGGATCCAGGCTCCGGGGGTGCCCCCAGCCCCCCGGGCCTCCCGACTGCCCACCTGGAGCCGGCCCAGCAGCACTTACTGAGGAGGGCGCCACCGTAGAGGCGGATGGGGGTCTTGCTGGTCGCCTCCACGCCGTCGAAGATGGCGTCATAGAGCTGGTCTGGGAAGGCCAGGGCCTGTGGGCAGCAGGGCAGGGCTCAGCGGGCAGCCCCGG